CAAATATATTTGATACAATTAATGTATGGAATATTATAAGAGCTGTAAGAGTCCCTAATAAAATGATCTTTAAAAAAAAGAAAAGAAGGAGTTCACAAGAGTTCATTAAAAAAGGTTACATGCTTGTTTATTATAACTCTTGAGATATAATTCTGCAGGAATTTCTTAGCGTGGGATGAGGGGATACGAGGCTGTCACAACCCAGGTTTTGGAAAAGGAAGAATGCTAAGTAGTGTGTTCTGGGCTGCATCCAATATTGACCCTTGGTTCTGATTGCTGCTCTCTCTCAGCTCTAATATACTGTGGGAATGGAAAGTTAGGGGGAAGCCAAGATCAGGGAACATTCGAGCACAAGGAAGCAGAGCAAAGAGCTCACTTCATCATGGTTTTGGGGGGAGTCAGTAGGGCTACTTCTTTGAACGAGGTCCACCTACTTGGAAAGTTTAAGAATTCTTAGACAACATTGCACTCAGGGTCTCTTTTCACTGAATGGATTCTTTCAATGTGCTGGGTACAAACACTATGCGTGTCTCTCAATGAGTTCTCCATTGCTAACTCCTTGAAAAGCCAATGGACGCTGAGTGCTGACCTATGTGGGTGTCTGTGATTCATTAGGTTCAGCATGGGAATGGCTCTCCAATGCTCCTCTGAGAAGCTGACCTGCCACATCACCTGCATCACTGCCAGTACAGCACCTGCTTACTCGGGCCACAAGTAAGCACATGATCCAACCAAGCCACTCAGTCTCCTCTTCAGGACTGAACCTTGAGCTGAGCTGCACAGTGACAGAAAATTGCTGGAACCAGTACCCTCATGGTGTCCCTGCTGAGAAGACCCCTGGGTTTTGGCAACCACTCCAGAGAGAAAAATGGTCTGAGTCATACTTTCAAACCACCAGCAAACATGGCGTGGTTTGCCAATCTGTGAGTTATTTAATGGTCTTCAAAAAAAATCCATCCCCTCTCCTTTATCGTTGTCATTGTTAGCTGCCATGAAGTCAGCCCTGACTCGTGGTGACCCCACGTGCAATAGAACGAAGCACTGCCAGTCTTGTGCCACTCTCTTCTTCATCGGTAACACCTACTGCTGAAATGCACTGTATTGGATGCTGAGTACTTTGGTGCCTTTCAAGCTTGGGGACTCATCGCCCGGCACTATTTTGGATAACATGATGTGGGATTTTTGTTGGTTGGTTTTTAAAAGTAGATCATGAGGTTTTTCTTCCTCCTAGCATGTCTTGTTCTGGAAACTCTGATGGAATCTGCCACCATATGGTGGCAGATTCCATCAGAGTGTCCAGTACATATTTGATATATGCAAATATATGTAAACATATTTTCTCTTTTTATGTATGTGTGTAGAGAGAGAGACTTCAAAAAAGTGAGTGGGGAACAATCCAGCATTCTGTGATGCTTACCTTCTGACACAATCACTGAAGACAAAATGGGTGCATAAGAAAATGTGGTGAAGAAAGCTGATGGTGCCCAGCTATCAAAAGATATAGTGTCTAGGGTCTTAAAGGCTTGAAGATAAACAAGCGGCAATCTAGTTAAGAAGCAACAAGCCCACATGGAAGAAGCCTGTGTGATCATGAGGTGTCGATGGGATCAGGTGTCAGGCATCTAAGACCAGAACAAAATCATATCCAATGTGAATGAGGGTTTGGGGTTGGGAATGGAGTAGAGACCCAGTGCCCATCTGTAGACAATTGGACATCCCCTCACAGAGGGGTCACAGGGAAGAGATGAGCCAGTCAGGGTGCAGTACAGCACCGATGAAACACATACTTTCCTATAGTTCTTTGGTGCTTCTCCCCCCCCACCACCACCACTATCATGACTCCAATTCTACATTACAAATTGGATTATACCAGAACATGCTACAGATAAAAGAGCCCACAACACAGGGAATCCAGGATAGGCAAACCCCTCAGGGACAACAATGAGAGTAGACATACCAGTAGGATTAAGGGAAGGTTAGGGGAGAAAGAGGAATTGATCACAAGGATCAACCTATACCCCACTCCCAGGGGACGAACCACGGAAAAGTGGGTGAGGGGCAACAGAGGATGATGTGAGATATGAAAATAATAATCTATAACTTATCAAGGGTTCATGAGGGAAGGTGGGTGGGGGAAGGAGTGGGGAGAAATGGGGAGCTGATATCAGGGGCTCAAGTGGGAAGAGACTGCTTTGAAAATGATGGAAGCATATGTG